CCTTACAATTCTAAGTACTGGGATATTTTTTCCTTCTAAATTACCTGAGAAATCTAGAACGTTACATTGGCCCCATATTAGTGCCTACTCAGCAATGCTTGTAAATTCCATAATTTACCACAATTAAGTTGTAGACCTTTCACAAATGCATGCTTAATCTGTCTGCAACTTTGTCCATTTGGTGCACATGCAAATGGGGCCTCATTGTCCATCAAGTGGGGTCCCCTTGACAATTAAACACTTAATCTTTTTGTCCCTTCCTTGATTAACAACAGATAACAAAATCTGATTACCTTACCCACAGAAATAAAGCAGAAGTTCTGCTTGTTTTCTATGATATTGCTAGGTTGCTATGGACAAGTGTGTGTCACAGAGTCACAAGTCCAGTCAGGGTCCAATCTCTGTCCGATACATTTCTTGATTAGCTTTAGAACTTTAATTTGGTTTCTAGTCACCCACTAATGTCGCTTAGATGTCTGCTCATATAGAGGACAAGGAATTAGGGATTAATTAATCACTGTATAATTGTCTTAGCCAGAAAAGAAATGATAATAAATAGTATTTATGGTAATAATTATACACTGAAAGAAAGAAAAGGACAACAAATTGAAATGAGAACAACACTTTTCAGCAAGGAAAAGGAAATTTTGACAAGTTAACTACTAGAGTTCACATGTGAAAGTACTGATGTACAAGCCATGAACTCTTTGTGTGGTCGACCTTTCTCTCTGTACTGCATGATTTAGTATTGAATTATGAAAGGTAAGCACAGCTTTTGTGAATCCTATGTTTTGTTGGAAGAACTTTTCACGATCTTCTAGAAAAATATTTACAGATTGAATAATGGGTATTCTAATATGCAATTTCTAAGTCCAAATGCTTTATAAAAGGAGACATGAAGTTCATTCAAAGGATTGATGTATTTATTTGCATGATGAGGCCAGATTGGGGGTTGTAAAAATAAGCCTTAACAGCTAAGGTGAACCATCCTTATATCCTAATCTAATGAGCATCAGCCTATCATGCGTGTACCATCTAACCTGAAATCTAAATTTTGCTAAACACCAAAATTGATTGGGAGAGAAATTGGCAATTTCCAGAAACGCATGGGGCTAATGAATAGGCTAACTAATTAGCAATAAGCTGGTAATTTAGTTAACGCAATCCTTAGAGGGAAGTCAATCTAATCTATCCTTTTTCAGTCTTGCAGAAATAACATGTAAATTACGCAATTTATTGAGTCCCTTTTTCAAGTTCTGTTAAGCACATGCATGAACCTAATTAAAATTTTTAAATAGCTCAAAGAGCGAGTTACTAGTTTAATTATTTAGCATGTTTCTGAGTTATGTAAACGTTTTAATTAGATCAACGAAATCTTAACGGAACTTTGACAGAAATATAGTTAAAAACCCAGTTAAAAAATAATTTAAAAGTTCAGTGATCTACTCACAAACTTGAAGGATATAGATTTATTCAAATAATTTGGAGACCAATAGGTAAATTTAAAATAATAATAAGGTTGAACATTAGTCGACCTTATCAATTTTAAAAGCTTCCAAGGCAGAAGTCTAAAAAATAATAAATTTAAAGCATTGACTAGTAATGAGATGAACAAGTCGTAGACACAAGGTATCATAGAAGACTTGCTTTTGCACAATGTTTTCCAAATCTAAAACCCACTATTTGATTATTTGAAAGAGCACACAAGGTAGGTTCGGTTGCTGAAGAAATAGTAGGGCAGACATGTCAGGTTCATGAACACAAAATTAAGCCTGCGTCTCCCACGTACCCGTTCTTCAGTATTTTCAATGTTGCACACTCATCAACTCCACGTCATCAAGATCAAGGCCTAAACTAATACCAAACACAAAAACTCAACCACTTTGATGAATTAAAAAATGGGTATATCAAATATGTCTCCCAAATTCAAAGTAAACGTTCAGCTTTGACATGTATTTGCACAATTTAATGGACAAAGTATTAACTTCCTGTCTTTATTTTCTTTGTTTTACTTTTGCTTCCATCCAAACGCAAATTCCAGGGACATCCTGAGATATGGTTCGTCATAACTGAGACGGTGTTTTTAAGTTTTATTTGAGCTTGCATCTGAAATGCTTTTCAATTTTTTTATTTGTGATTGAACACAAATGAATGAATGGTTAGCTTTTCTTCTTTTTAAATTAGTTGACTTTTCAATTTAATTCAAGCTTATCAACACACGTGTTTGGTCCACGCTGTGCTTCGACAAAGCCATCAACAATTTCTAAAGTTTGATCAACTTCTAATTAACACTACCTGTTAGAAACATATGGCTTCCTTCTTTTCGATCATAGCCATAATATAATCGATAAAAGAAGAAAGTATCTGTAAATGATATTGAAATCATGTTTGGTTTTGACTTTTTGTTTGTAATGAAGCGTGCCCCCTTTTTTAATTTGGCTACTTTCATCGTATCGAGTCCGAAGTTATCTGTTTTTTTTTTTTTTTTGGCTAATTTTGTTTGTGTCAAGCAAAATAATATTAAAACTTGTTTAAAAGAGCCTATAAATAGCTTATAAAAATATATTATATTTTTTAAAAAATTTAATAAGTTTTTAAAAAATAAATTATTAAAATAATTTACTTTTTAGTTTATTTTAATTAATTTTATAATTAAATTTATAATATAAGTCATCTTATAAAAAAAAATATTAAATAAGTGCCTAATTAAAAAATGCACTCAAAATCACTTTTTATCCTATGTAAATATAATAATATTTTGAAATTCAATTAACAATGTTAAATGTCATGAAGACCCTTGTGACGTTTGAAATTGGAGGCAACAATGAAAGAACAATATTTATATGACTAAAATGAATAAAAAAAGAGTTGAATGATGAAACAAACATTTAGCTTAAATTTAGAAGATAAAAATATTATTTTTTTCAAAATAGAGGTTAAATTAAAAACATAGCAAAGTATAAGTTAAATAAGTCTTATAACTCTTTGTTTTATTTTAATTTTTTTTCATTTTAGTTTCTCATTTTACAAAATTGTTTTAAATAAGATTTTTTTATAAAAAATGTGAAATATGATAAAAAAATATTATTATTTACCTTCTTCAAACTTTAGCAAAAACACAATATATTATTATGATTTTTTTATTGCCTCTTTTTCTTTTCTTTCATCTGCTGATTTTTACCTCACATCTACACATCAAAGACTCTGTTTTTCCTCCTTTAAACTCTTCACATTTTTTTTGTTTTTCTTTTTTATTCTTCCTCTTATCTTTTATTTACACCTTTTTCTTCCTTCAAACTTTGACAATAAACTTTTTTTCTTCTTCTTATTCTTACCTTTCATTCATGCTCCCATATCTCATTTTTCAATGATTTAAGACATGTTTTGATAATAATCAAAATCAAATTTTCATATTATAACACATGTTTTAATGTAAAGTTGGTGGCTAATATTGATTATGAGATCGCCAATGCTTTGTTAGACAATAAGTTAAATAGAGAAAAAAATAAAGAAAGAAGAAGGATATAAATAAAACTAAAAAGATATTATTTAAATGAACGAAAAAATAGATAAATTTATCTCTTCATGTTTGGATGAGAATAAAGTGAAATAAATAGATGATATAATTTCTTTATTAATTAAAAATTTAAATTTAACTTTCAAAAAATTAATTTTATCCTAATATAAAATTGTTTATTATCTTTGATATTATAAATATTACTTCTATTTTGTAAATAATTAAAATAAAAAAACCCCTCCATCCCATTTCACAATTATGGGGGAGGATTAGGGATAACGGGACATAACAAACACAGGTAATAAAAATTTGGAGTAAGTAAAAATTTGTCTCGCACCCCGCGTATAATAGGTACCCACTAGTTTAAGGGATATCGTATATACAGTATCTACAGATTTTTATGATTTATTTTTATTAAAAAATACAAAATTACGAAAAAAATAAAAATAAAAAGCTATTATCAACCAATCACATAACACTAAAAAAACAATTAAAATATAGCATTAAGGTTATTAATATTAGAATTAAATTATTTTTTTACTTATATAAAAGATAATTTTGTAATTTTATCTATAAACATATACTTGCATACACATGTATCTTCCTACTTAAACTAAATCCACCATGTTTAATTAACATGTATTAAAAAAATTATTTATTACACATACGTGTACCTTATTAATAACCCAAACTCAACTCAAAACAAGTATTACTTGCTGATACGAGTTTTTTCATCATCCCTAGAAAAGATACTTTAATTTAAAAAAATAAAAATTATCTTATTTTTATTCCATTTTTTTTAATTTTAAAGTTTTGTATAAAAACAATAAAAAATAGCTTTTTCTTTTACCATTTTTTATACAAATATTTTAAATTAAAAAAGGCAATGTTTTAGAATTAAAAGTAAAATAGAAAATGAAAAAGAAACAAACATACCGAATGTGCATTGGATATTGTATGAGAATCGTAAAATAACAAGCTATTATTCTAAAACGGTGATCATACTCAATTTACTGAGAATTATACTATAATGATAGAAATTTATACTTATCTTGCTAGTAATTATTAACATTTCAAAAGTTTTCATCACGTAATTGCAAGTTACCAGAAACATAAGCCAAGTTACTATACACCTAGAAAGAAATAACAATTGTGTAATAAGAGGATGCAAGAGTTTCATTGTCTATTTATTCATGGAGGCCAAAAGGGGACAAGAAATCTTTACCTTTTACGACCAGATTAGTGAAGCCTCACAAATTCATGGAATAGAAGTGCTGGAATAAGAATCAAAGCTCATCCAAAATCAACATAATGAGAATTGCGAACAGACACATTAGTCACCACAAAACTTTTAGTGCTTGTATGGAAACTCAATAAAATCAGGTTAAACCACTTTTAAACGTGAAAGCTATAATTTTCAGTATTAAAATGGATTTACGTTTACGTAGATTTGACATCAATTCAAACATGCTGCCAACAGTGTCTATGTACATAATCATCGGGGAGCTCCCTATGATAATGATACTTGATAATTAACAAACAATGCTATTATGCTAGTGACTACTCTTCTCTTTTGACAAAAAGTGGCTCAAACCATAAGCATTTTTCCCTGTAGCAGAGGCAGAACATGAATTTGATTCAGTAAGAGTATAACCAGGATGATTTGAACCTACTGAAGAGTTTAATGAAAAGTTGCCTTCAATGTCTGAAAGACACGCTGTGGAACCAGAGGTATGTGATGAGAACTCATCAGTTACTCCTTGAATGTCAGAAGATATGCTACATGCCTCAGCCTGATCAATTTCATTTGAGTTACAGGACCCATAAGACTTTGAAGAGGCATAAGTTGGTTTAACTAACTTTTCATTCATCTGAAACCTTTTACTATGATGAGTCATAGTTACACCTATCTGAGGACACATAGCTTGCAATTGTCTACTAAGTATATATAGAGTCTCTTGACATTCTGCGAGCTTTTTCTCTGCAGCTGCTAGCTCTTTATCCTGATGCCATGAAGATAGTACCAAAACAAAAAAGGTGATGAAGTAATGAATGAAGCCAAAGAACATCAAAAGAGGAAGAGAATTTTTTTTTTCTTTCACGTAGTACAACAGAAAGTTTATTTCTCACACGTGCAAAAGCAAACATATCTTTAGTATCTACTAAAGTTTGCAGAACATGCATGATGATATATAGGAATAATGCAAAACTGACAGCAGTTACTTTGATATGTAAATTATGTAAATACCTTCCCATCATTGATGCTGTTATTTGCCGCTGACTTTGATGCACACACCAAGCACTTGTCCCTTAAAGTGTAAAACACACAAATTTTAGAGAGGATCACACTTCAGCTCAAGAAACAAAGCTCAAAATATAAAGTATAGAAACTGTTCATGTTGATTGAGACTTAGAGAGCTAACCTTTGCATTGTTTCTTCAATTTCTTTGTACCTCATCAAAGCATCATGATGACATCGTTTTTCCTCTGCAAGATCATTCTTCAGCTCATCCATCTTTTCCTTTAAAAACTTATTTTCAGCTTCTAACTCATCTACATGTGTTTGAAGTGACTTATAAGCCTCTGTCATACATTTGAGCTGAATCTCGGTCAAACTGTATGATTTATGAGACAAAGCCAATTGTGCTTTCAGTTCTTCCAGAAGCTGCATGTTTTCCGGCATCATGTTTTTTTCTTTGAGATCTTGCATGTGTTCATCGTGTTCAGTTACCTTATCATCTTTCTCTGGCTCCATCTGTTTGAAATCTGCTGATGAGTGCTCAGAGGATATCAAATTCAACTCAGAACCCGGACTCACTACTTCTTTGGGGACATCAGAATTTGAACTGAGTTGACGAAAACAGCCATCTGTATTAAAATACATTTCATTTGGTGCTAAACTAGTTGTACTATTAATATCTACTCTCTTGCCTTTACAGTCCAAATACTTCAAATGTGATTCAATAGTTTTGGTCAAAGCTTGAGAAAGTTTGAGAACAAACTCTAAACTTGTTTTGTTTGTGCTCAGTTGATTCAGAGAGAAAGAGATCTCTTCTGAGTTTGCATCCAACTTGTGCCCATTGTAACAATTTCCCTGAAGTTGCGAAGTTTCTCTTCCCAGTGTTAGTACAAAGCGGTGAATTGAAGAAATTGCTGTTACCCCTTGAAGTTCAGTAATCCCAAACTCAGTGCCAACTATACTATCTCCACTCACGGGCACAGGCATGCCAGTCTTGAAAAACTGCTGAAAAGAGGAATCATCGTCATTACAATTGGATTTCAAACAGAGAGGGCAATCTGAAGTTGTTGGGAGGTAAGATCTTAATTCACAAACAGTAACTTGAAGATCCCCAAAAAGCTTCCAAATATTGGAGTCCTTTGCTTCAGAGATAGTGATCATAGAAATTATAGATTGAAGCCTTTTCAAAATGGGAAGGTAATCACCCTCAGAATCAGTGATCTCAAAACAATTTTGATTTGATGATAAACAGCTAGTGTGCTTTTTATCTTCGGCATCATCATTAGCTTTGCTAAGGATGCCAAGAGGTACACTGCCATTGTCCGATAAACACGCCATCTTCTCCACTTCCAGAAAGTCATCCATCAAGTCTGAGATAATTTCACTCGTATGATTCTCAAATTTACCTACACTTCTAACCCTCCTGATATCAGAATGGTCAGGAATCGATACTGCACATGACTCAACAGGACTTTCTGGATCCTCATGCCCATTATCAGAGATAGAAGTGATGCTAGGAGGATTGCTATAAATTCTACTCAAGGGGTTCTCGTAATTGGTGGCCAAAATTGATTTCTGGGCTCTTCTTTCTTGATGAAAAACTTGTATCTCAGCTTCCAAGTTCTTAAGTCTGCCAACTGTTTTAGTATACAAGTTTCTAGAAGCCTTCAGTTCAGCATTACTTGAGGCCAATGCTTCTTTCAATGTTTTTGTTTCTTCTTCCAACTCCTCCAATTGTTTGGTAAGAAATTCAGATTCTTGCAAGCTATCAGATTTTAAATAAGTTTTTCTTAGATGAGGTGCACTAATGACATGGCATGAACTCTCAGCTTCTAGCTTAATTTGTGCCAATGCAGCAGGCCCAGGTAACTTCTTTCGCAACAGACCACGCAGCCGTTGGCATTCGCCCTCCAGCTTGGCAATGTTCTTAACATCCTCCATGTGTTGTTTGTTTGCCACTTCTGCTGATCTCATAATTATATTCTTCTCTTCATTTCTGATATCCAGCTCCTTAGAAATCATATGCAGCTCATACTTCAATGAAGTTAATTCTTTTTCTTTTGACTGAGAATTCTTCTTTAGAAGCTCTACCTCAGCCTCAGCTTCAGACTTTTCTTCTTTCATTTTTACTATTCTATTTGAACTTTCTTGAAGTGATCTCAGAAGGGCAGCATTTTCACCAGCTTCTTCATGGAGTCCTTCCTCCAATCTGTCTATTTGTGCTTCAAACTCTAATTTGATTTTCTCCCATTGCTGGGATTTCATAAGAATCACCTCCTGCAGTTTCTGCTCACTTTCCTCCTTTATAGTTCTTATCTGCTTCATGCATTCTTTTAGAGCCCCATCTAACTGAGCTGCTCTCTCATCAACAGTAAGCTTAGAGAGAGACAGAGATTCAAGTTGACGTCTTAAGGAAACAACTTCTGCATCAGCTTTTTCCCAACCTAAAATGCATACAAAGTTGAATTAACTATCTTTTTTACTAAACAAGTGGAATATAGAAAATGAATCAGTATTCTAATTATTTCAACTGTGGCAACTGAGTTTTCTTTTGTTCTTTAAATGGTTACATGAAATTATTTTAATTTTGTATATATATATATATATATATATATATATATAAGCATTACCTGAGACTGCTTCCTCAGCAACTTTTGCATGCTGTTTAACTAGATCATCCTTGTTATTTAATTCTGAATAAGCTGCAGATAACTTTGCTTCCAAAGCTTTTATTTGATCCTCCAAGCTTACAACTTGATCTTCCAATCCAGACATATGTGTATATGATTCCATTGATATCTGAACATAGTTCTTATTTTTGCAGTTGTCCTGCTGAAAAAAAGATATATATATATAAGAAAAGAACAGTGGTAGTGAGGAATTTACTCAACTTAGCACGTGATTGAATGTAAAAAAGTTTTCCCTCTTGCACCTTTAGAAAGAATAAAATACCTGATCTCCTAGATGTGCCACTGAAGACAAGGTAGAACCAACAGATTCTGATGTAGCCACTGCAATCTCAGCCTTTGTGATTTTATCAGATGGTTTTTTCTTCCAGAGCCAACCCCGGCGGTCCATCTCAGAATTCTATCCTGCCCACAGCATGCTAAAATTGAGGACTAATGCACATCATTTCATCATCAGGAGATAAGAATTTTATAGCATTAGTATGCATTGCCAGCTTCAAATATTGTTATTATAATAAAACAAAATCAAATCAGTCAAAAATACAATTTATAATCAAAATGTCACTTCTAAACTATAAACCTTCTAGTTCAATAAAAGTTATCTAATCAATTTTTTCATAATTAGTAGTCAATGACGGAACAGTATAACAGCAAAGAAGACCTGGCAACATATTCCATAAGCTCTTTTTACAACATCATTTCTCAGAAAGCTTAACTTTCTGTGTGCGCGCGTTTCCTTAATGTTGTATCAACATTACCAACACTAAACATGGAAATTTTGAAGAAAATAATATATCACACACTAACATATTAGGAATATAAATCTGTAACATTATTCTCTTTCTCTACTTCCTGCATTTTCCTATATTTAAATAATTTAGTTAGAAAAAAAAAAACTACGTCATGAACTTAACCACCAAAAAGAATCCCAGAATCAATCAGCAGTAACAAAACAGAATGCACTAACTACCCCAAAAAACATCACTTGTTTACACACATAGGTCGACAGACACGGGTATAAACACAAAATGGAACAAAAATAAAAAATAAAAAAATATACTTACCTGAAAAGAAGAAAAAAATTGAAGCTTTTTCAGTTTCTGTGAAGGAAACAACTAAAGCGTAATGAAAATGAGGATTGGATTTGAATGGGTAAGTTGGCTCCTGAAGACTCCAAAGAGTGAGTTAAGTCTTTGCTTTGAAGTGCGAAGTGACAGACAAAGAAGGAGAGGAGCGGGGCAAAGCTAAAAGTAATGAACTAATGGCCAAACGTGCGGTCACTGTTTAAACGCTCCTGCACCAACATCTCGATAAAATATATGCATATAATTTGAAAAAACTACAACAAAATATAAAAGGTGACGAAACAACGTCGTAGTCAAAATAGTACGCATTTGTTTCTCTTTCTTAAGGATAATATGTATTTGAACGATGAGAATTTTTTCAGTTATTTTTTCTTGTCGTTTTGTGTGTTTCTCTTCCCACCTTCGTTGTTGTCGTTTATGTGGCTCAATGCTAGGAATTGGAAGACGTGAATTCTCCCATCTACATCTGCAAATAGAAATTAAGATGGCCATGCTGTCACTGGTGTGAGACCTTTGCCCAATACTATATATGCGTGAATTTCAACATGGGTCGTTTTGTTATCTTTTTTTTTTTTTGGTTGTCGTGGCTCGATGTGAGCAAAGTTGAAAACTTTATGTGTGCTTCGCTTGATATTGCATTTTCACTCGTCCTTGGTCATATTCATTTACCCATCTTCCACTGTGCTTTGCTTAGTCAATATTGCTGAATTATATATATAAATCTTTAGTTGAGATTTTTGCTTTGGTGAAGTGATTTGGCGGCCATTAAGGCAAATGTGATGTGAGTTTCTGTGTGTTTTGTTCTAAAAAAAGAGAGGAGAAAAGTTGGAAATCCAGCTAGTTGAATAAAACTTGTATAAAATAAGTTTGTCTCTGGAAGGGTGTACAATGTACTTGAAATTAAACTGAATGTAGATATATCCATACTTAAACACTTTAAACACAAACTAGTTTTGAAAATCTTTATCTTAATTTAGAATATATTTAATAACATAAGCTTGTAAATTATTTAAGAGTTCATAAGTTTTTATTAATAAAAAATAAAAGAAACTTGCAACTTTTAATGGATTATAAAAAAATTTCTCCAAATAGCTACTTATTAAAAGCCATCCTATCACCTATAAAAAAAAAAACTATAAATTTTTCCTAGTTTTACTAAAAAGGGCCTGAGTGTATGAAAGCTTTCTGCAGGGACGTTGATTTTGCACTATTCAATTAGTTCATTTTGATAAATAACACTTAGTCCCCTAACATATTAATATATATAAAGTGGATTACTTCAACTTTTTATTTTACATTGTTTATACCAAGGCCTTTTTTGGGGTAAACACACCCCTCTATTTTTAAAGCTTACAAAAAATATCTCTAATTTTTAAATATGATATATTAAACCCAAAACCTTTATTTTATATAAAATCGACAAAAATGCACTTATTTTAGATTCCTATCTTCTTGTGTACCCTTTGTTTTTCTGTAAACGTCAAACGCATCTAAACTTATAAGGCCTTAGTCCAATCCACTCTTTGCTTTCGGCCTTAAATAACACAAATTAAATAGAACAAAAGGTTTAAGCCCAATAACATCCCACCATTTCGCTTGATCAAACAGGGTCCATCAAAATTGTTTGGGCTTTATAGTGTATACTCATACGGGCCTGATCCAAGAGGAACGCACACATATTCTAGGTCAAGGACAAAACGGCATTGCGTCTGCTATATAATATAACCGAAGCAGAAACCCTAATTTCGGAATTCTTCTTGTATCGGTGCGGCACATTCACAGTACAGTAGGGAGAGGAGTTGGATCGGAATGGGAAGGGTAATTCGTGCACAGCGTAAGGGTGCTGGGTCAGTGTTCAAGTCCCACACCCACCACCGCAAGGGTCCAGCAAGGTTCCGCAGTCTCGATTTTGGTGAACGAAACGGTTACCTGAAAGGCGTTGTTACCGACGTCATCCACGACCCTGGTCGCGGTGCCCCTCTCGCCAAGGTCACTTTCCGCCACCCCTTCCGCTACCAGAAGCAGACCGAGCTCTTCGTCGCCGCCGAAGGCATCTACACCGGCCAGTTCATCTACTGCGGCAAGAAAGCCACCCTCGTCGTTGGCAACGTCTTGCCCCTCCGATCCATCCCTGAAGGTGCCGTCATTTGTAATGTCGAACACCACGTCGGTGATCGCGGCGTTTTCGCTAGGGCTTCCGGCGACTATGCTATTGTTATCAGCCACAACCCTGATAACGATACCACCAGGTTTCCACTCACCCTATTCAATTTCATATTATAATTATTAGCTTTGCATCTGTTTTGTTAGTTTTCTTGCTTCAAAATCTGTGCTTGAGAATTGGGTAGCTCCAACTCCACATTTGCGTTAATTACTGACTGTGTGAAATGATGCAAAATGATGTTCATTATTATTAATTTTTTCAATTTACAGTGAATTATATTATGTAACGTTTTATAAAGCCATGCACTGAGGTAGAAATTTTGTATTGTCAAGAATGTTAAGAGTAATGTGAAAGTAAAATGGAAGCGTCCTAGTTTTTAATGGACGTGTATTTTGGTGGCAGGATCAAGCTTCCTTCTGGTTCGAAGAAGATTGTTCCAAGTGGGTGTAGGGCGATGATTGGGCAAGTTGCAGGTGGAGGAAGAACTGAGAAACCTCTTCTTAAGGCTGGTAATGCTTACCACAAATTCAGGGTGAAGAGGAATTGCTGGCCTAAGGTGCGTGGTGTGGCTATGAACCCAGTTGAGCATCCTCATGGAGGAGGTAACCACCAGCACATTGGTCATGCTAGTACTGTTAGGCGTGATGCTCCTCCTGGCCAGAAGGTTGGTCTCATTGCTGCTAGGAGGACTGGTCGTCTTAGGGGACAAGCTGCTGCTACTGCTGCCAAAGCGGATAAGACATCTTGAAGAGATTGTTAGGGTCTTATTTTGTTGCAAGTTCTCAAATTTTGTTTATTTGATAGTTTTATGTTAAACTGTTTGGGTAGTATTTTGAGCAATGTTTTCCCCATAAATATGAAGCCCTTAATTGACTGTATTTTTTGCTTGTTTAAGACATTCAATCCTACTGTTTATCTATCTTTTGCTGATTTCAACTAGTTGTAATGTGAAATTCAATTTTTTTCTTCTCCTTTGGTGATTTGATTTTGGCTACAGCAGTAGCCTACGAGCTTTTTCATTAAGCTCAACTGTAAGAGAGTTGAGGAAGACCGACAAGAACACTGGAAGAAATCATCGAAAGAAATCTTGAGATATAATATTTCTAAAATTTGTTTCTCATACATTAGATTTTTTTGTTATTAGGCTAATTTATTGGTGCTAAGTGTAGTTTTCTTCATATAGCTTGTTCTGGGAATGGTTATTTCATATTTGTTTTGGCTCGCATTGCTCAAATGTCGCGTTATTCACTGAGTAGCTGAACTGTGCTGTTAGTTCCACTCGGAATACAGACATAACGAGTACGTGAAGAAACCTAGAGGTTAAACCCTTCTATTTTAGCACCAAACAATTAAGGAAACAGTTTTTTAAAAAAAGCCAGTAAGGGTTGGTTGATGTGCTGTTAGAAGTTAAGGTTAGAGCATCTACAATGGTATACACGTTTATGGTTTGTAACAACATTTGCCTTGTGAAAGGATTCAGAATACTGTCTAATAAACAATCGGTACCATAGAAAATGTCTGCAGCTCAAGGCTTCTCTGGCATGGCCAACGTCACCTCACAATTCAGTGATTGCATTTCTACCGAGTGAGGCGGCAAATAGGCGAATACTGTTTCCCTTAACGTAATGGGTTTTGATAATGGATTTCACAGTCATAAGACGGGTTTATTACTTGATTATTAGTAATTTAGCATCACACAGCATTTTTTTGGATTCCCACATCTACAGTTAAGACTTTAGTGGTAAATAATAAAATAGTTCCCAAATTAATAACCTGCCCAAACCAGCTATAATTCTAATGTTTATATTAACCTGTGCATAAGATACATTGATCATGAGTGGTTGCAGAAATAGATTGACATAAGATTGATCCAATATCTTTTTTTATTATTTAATCTAAAGATTGATACACCATCTTATTTTCTGTAGTTTACATACTATTTGGATGCTTAAAAGAAGGGGGGACGGAAGTTATTTACTGTATTTAGTTGGGAAAGGAAAGTGACGATGAGATGTGGGGAGGGAGGGATGGGTGGAGGGGGGGGGGTTATGTTTCTGACTTTTTAAACTTTTATTAATTAAATTATTTAAAAATAATATTTTTATTAATAAAATTATAATGAAAGAATTAAAATTTTTAGATTTATTTTAATTTTTTATTATTATTTTAATATGATCTTTTTTACTCATCCAAATAAATAGAGTAAATATTTTATTTTTCTTATCTCAATTAATCTAAATATTAAAATTTTTATTCTATTTTTTATTTAATCCCCTCTTCATTGAAAAGGGCTTGGAACAAAACTCCACAAAGTCAAGTTTTTGTTTTTAATCTATGGACTAAAAAGGGCTTCTTCTTTTTTTTAATCTATACAAAGTAAATATATATTTGGGCCAATTCATGGACATATTGACAAAGAGGTTCAGTAGACACATTAAATAGATGAAAATCAAGTACTTGGCTAGTGTAGCGGGCTTACAAAAGGGTAAGGATCATTTAAAAAAAACGATTCGGATCATCAGAAAATAATAATAAAAAGAATAGTGAGTTATTATTGGAGAAGACGTTAACTATTAAAATAATTAAATTTTTAATTTAAATATTAATAAACATAAAAAATTTAATTAAACAAATGGTTAAAATTATTATTATATTTGGTTTAGTAAAAATTTTCACTATAGACAATTTAGATTAAAATATATATACCCTCAAAATAGCATAACTAAAATATATACTCCCTCAGGGAGTTCTCTTTTGCTATGAGTGTGTAAATTATTCTTTTTCCTTTTTTATTTTTTTCTTTTTCTTTTCCTTTATAAATTGACTTTATTATTGTCCAAATCATTATAGGTGCTTTATGCTTTATTACATGCATGCGTGAGTCACCTCTTAATACCTAGTTTGACTATTTCATTCATGACCCCAAAGCCATTAGGTCTTAAACTCGTTTGTGTGTATATATTTTTTAAAATTCTTTCCTTTTATGCATAAAATGTTACGAGTGACTACCATCTGTATATAAACTCCACAGATAGGATATCCGCGCACCTGTGACCAAATGAAAATCTGTTCGTCAAAACAATATAACTCGAACTTCATACTCTCATTGGCTCTGTCAAAAGAAAATTCATACAATGTCCAGAATTTTAATACCGATATTAGTCTACAATCTCGTCTCCAATTCAAGAGGAAAAAAGAGATTTAAAAAACTTGATAAAAATGAAAAAGGTGTTCCATTAATTCCTTATTCTCTCTATCGCTCTCCCCCTTTCTATACAACGGTTTGTAGCCTTTACCACAAGAATATGCCCCAAGAGACTATAATCACCCCATATTTTCTGGCTCCACTTTCAATCTTTTTGCATTTAGAGCCATTAGGACGTTATCAACTTCCCATTGAATTGACATGCCCTGCACATTAGAGCAACTAAAACCATTGCGGCACCCCTTTGAAGTTTTAAAGAATGCACATGGTTTTTTGGATTTGCTTTTCATTTCCCCAGGTTTAGATATGTTGTTACGTACCTGTTTCAGATCTTTTATATTATTATGACAAATATCAGTTTGTGAGTCCTGCATAAATTCATTATCAGTACCATGTTGCCTAATAAGGTTTTTGTAGTAGTTGACACCTTTCATAGGAAATCCTGTTCCAGCACCAGGTTGATAAGGCATTGCACCAGCAGTGGACCCCGCATGATTTGAAATTGCATGCATGTTTGCATAAGCATAAGGCATTCCCTGTGTGTTTAATTCATTGGAGGGAACAGAAGCCAATGGTGGTGGTGGTGCTGCTGCTCGATTTACCCCAGATAACACAACTCTTTGGCATAAGGCGAATATTTTCATTGTCTTGTTTGCGCATGAGGTGTAGATATTGATGGAGGTAGAGGTTTGGGCATTGTAACTGTTCTAGTTTCTACTGATTGACCTGATACAGGCTTAGACAAAGAAACAGATGGTGTTGCAGGCTTATCAAGTGTTGATGTCAACAATGAAACATAAGGAGCTGCTAGATTTTCAGGTGTAGATTTCAACACTAAAACAGATGGTGTTGCAGGCTTATCAAGTGTAGGTTTCAACAATGAAACAGATGGAATAGCTGGCTTTTCAGGTCTATATGTTAACACTGAAACAGATGGTGTTGCAGGCTTATCTAGCAATGAAACACATGACATTGTAGGCTTTTTCCATGCAGATGTCAACACTGAAAAAGATGGAATAGGAGGTTTTTCAGGTGTGGGGGTCATCAATGAAAATATGATGGAGCTGCTTGCCTTGGTCCAGAACCAGCCATTAAACCCATTGTTGTTGTGGATGTACTCTCGGAAGAAGTTGCAGGTGTAGATTGAGACAATAGAACTGATGAAGTAATAGGTTCAAAACTAGAAGTAGGTATACTCACAGTACTTGAACAAGCCAAAATAGTGGTGACAGCATTTCTATATTCGCTTTACTGGGTCATTAAATATTTTAAGGAGTTGATCCAAACAAATTCTTCTGCACTGATCATTGCTATTGATGATGAATTTGGAAGTTTCTCAAGCTTATCAAATATAAATCTCACAAAATTGACAACATTCTAATTTAACTATCTCCTCCTTATCGAAGACTTAGCTCTTCTAGTACCTAGATTAGAATCATGAAGTTTTCATTAATTGAGACAAAGTCATGGCAACCTCACAGCAACCATGTCATGTTACAATGATTTTTGTTCCTGTTACGAATACACTACTCTTCTCAATACTCTTCTACTATAGGATAAGGTGATGTCCTTGAAATATCATTAGTTTTTCTCGTAGGGAGAGTGTACCTGCAAAAGGTACTTTGATGATAAAGTCAGGTGTTGGTTTAAGTAATAAATTCTATTAATATTCGAAAGTCAATCATTTACTAATATCTCTTACTTACCTTTTATAGGCAATATTATGAGTTAATGGACTTTTATGAGTCATCCTTGACTTTATTCCTTCAATTAAGTAAATAATGATCTGATTAATTACTCTAATCAGTTTAATTATTCTTTAATTTATTCTTAATCTAACCAAGAGGGTACTTCTCTTATTGATGCTGAAGGGGTACTCAGATTCCTTCTTTTATCATTGAGACTGAATGATGTCTTATTCAGTATCCTAGCCTCCCAAACTCGATAAGGTACGACTTAAAGGTTTATTAGGTCACGTTGACTGTTCTTTATTGGTGTTGTGATTCTTTTCATAGAGGTGAGAGTGATGTGAAAGCTACTGGCAACGTACTCAGTTTGAAATGATATGTTAGTGTTCATCCGAACAGGTATTCAGGTTCCTTCTGCTGGTGGTAAACTGGGTATAATGATGATGGTCACCGACAGGCACACATCGGTTGCTAATTGGAGGCAAAAAAAATAAAATAAAATTGAAAAGACATCATAAATGTACTGAATAGGACATCATTCAGTTTCAATGATAAAAAAAAGAATTCGAGTACCCTTTCGGCATTAATAAAATGAGTATCTTTCTGGTCAGATTAAAAATAAATTAAAAGATAATTAAATTGATTAGAATAATTAATTAGATCATTATTTACTTAATTGAAGGACCAAAGTTAAGGGTGACTCACAAAAGCCCATTAACCCATAATATTCTCTGTAAAAGGAAGGTAAGAGGTCTAGATAAGAGGTACAATGAGTTATTTTTGCTGTGGGTTTGAATTAATACTTGAAGCATATGCGTTAAACACCATTATTTATATACGTTTATCGCATTAATCATATTTGTAAACTCAAAAAATTTTACTTACAAATTCTCTCGCATTAATTATATCTCTGAACTCAAGAAATCATTTAAAAATTGTCTCACAAATAATATGAATGCATGGCACAAACAAGACAATGAAATGTTTTGGCAAATGAAACTAATCCATTGTCAGGAAACGGTAAAAAAAAGTGACTAACTTAATAATATCCAAAGATACCCAACTTTAATTATCCTCATTCTATAAACAGGTTGGTTCTAAATTGCAAGTTTTAAATTAGAGGCTATACAATATAATAAGTTTGAAGAATTGGACTTTATCTAATCTAATATACAGTTTAACAAGGATCTTTAGAAAATCACATGGATCCA